TGCTGGTGGCTGTGGCTGAAGCCAGCCTGGTTCGTGTCCCAYCTGGCGTGTCTGTCCTCGTACTGCAACGACACACGGGCTGCTCTGGGTTCCTGGGGGCACCARCAGCCTGAAACCCCCAGTTGTGAGGGGAAGGAGGCCCAGACACATCCCACAGTGGTGGGGAAGCAAACCCACGTGGCCTTAACAGAAAGGAACAGGTTGACCTTTGTTTGAGACAAATCCCAGGACAAAGTGGCTTCCCAGCTCCTCGGAAAGGAAATGGAGCAGCACGAAAGGGCACAAATGCCTCTGCTCTGAAACAACCCAGCCACTCCCTGCTGCCCAAACCACTGCCTGTGGGACAGCAGAAGCCTTGGAGAGAAGGAATGGAGTCCTTTAAATCAACAAGAGCTGGGGCAGGGCAGATCTGGGTCCCATCACTTATTGGGTTGCAATGCTCCAGCAACACTGCCTTGGAGTTATGGAAAACACTGTCCCATGCCAAAGTGAACACAGCATCAGCTGGACACGGACTGCTGCTCCCCAGAGGAGTGTGGAAGCAGCCCCATCCCTCCAGTGAGCTCCCACTGCTGCTCTGGGAGAAGGGAAGGGCTGGGTTTGCTGTTTCCAGGAGCCCAGATCTCTGGAGAACCCAGCAAAGGCCAGGGCAGGGCAGAGCTCCTCGCATTCCCACCGCCTGGACCAGGAGGTGACACTGCAGAGGTGTCAGCCCTGGGGCTGGGCCATCCCAAACACAGACAGGGGGGCTGAGCCCTGGAATGAACCTCCTGAACCCCTGGAACCTCCTGAAACTCTGGAATCTGCTGAGCCCCTGGAACCTGAGCTCTGCAACCTGCTGAACCCCTGGAATGAACCTGCTGAGCCCTGGAACCTCCTGAAACTCTGGAACAAACCTGCTGAGCTCTGGAACCTCCTGAACCCCTGGAATGAACCTCCTGAACCCCTGGAATGAACCTCCTGAGCCCTGGAATGAACCTGCTGAGCCCCTGGAACCTGAGCCCTGGAACCTCCTGAACCCCTGGAACCTCCTGAGCCCTGGAAGACCCCTCCATTGGCAGCTGGAGGCATTCCTGAGGCAAATGCCCCATTTATTATCATGACAGGGGAAAATGCCTCAGCCACATTCCTGGAAGGAACACGGAGTGAGGGGAAAGCGCAATCCCCGTGCAGGGAGCCAGAGGAGTGAGAGATTTACTGAGGGACAGCAGACACAAACAAGGATGTGCACAGCAGGCTCGGGCTGTCCTGCAGCACCCCGAGGGGCAGCTGTGGGTGGCAGGGAAGGGACAGTGCCCTCACCTTGGTGGCAGTGAAGACAATGAGGTGCTGCACGTCGCGCCAGGTGAGGCACGGCCGCACCTGCAGCATCAGAGCGATCATTCCTGCGGCCAGGGGAGCGGCTGCTGATGTCCCTGTGTGCCCCTCCGTGCAGCCYGTGCCCTTCTGCAGGTCCCAGTCTGTTGTCACCTGCGAGGGAGAGCRGGGAGAGCCGTGCTGGGGGGCTGGACAGGTACAGCAGTGCTGGGCCAAGCTCAGCTCCTGCTCACGGCCAGCCTGGAAGGGTTTGGGACAGCCCCAGGACAGGAACAGCAATGGGACAGGTCCCTTTAGGGACAGAGATAAACCAGCCCTGACTGAGAAACTCTGTGGGAAACTCCTGGTTGGTATTTGGGGCTGTTCACTGCTGATCAGGGTCACAACCACACTGCACAAAGGCTCCCAAATTGTGCCACCACCCTGCAAAGCAAGTGCCTCCATCTCTCTCTGCTCCCCGTGGGGAGAAAGCCCAAAATCTGAAGGGTTTGTTGAGTTTTGATTTGACTCCCATCCCATTTTACCAGCTGTGAGTGGCTCCAGCTCACGCTGGGACATCGAGTGTCCCACACAGAGCACCCTGAGAGCACAAACTTTCAGTAGGAAGTGCAGCCAGTGCCAGGAGCCGTATTAAATTCTTCCCATTAAGGAAACCACACAAAGTTTATGGTCTGGTAAAAGAAAAAAAAAAAMCCAGAAGCTGGAGCAGATGGCTGCAGGGAAGTTAACTCTGCAGTGAGCTGCAGGCTGTGCTCCTCAGGAAGGGCTGTGTGGGTTTGGCTGAAGGAGCCACCGTGGCAGAGGATGTCTCTGTGGCACATGCCATTCCCAGGCTATGTGTGGATCTCMTCCTGGGTCCCCATGGAGTGCCAGYCCCGCTGTGAGTGTCCCATTAGGCCAGTGTTTAAAATGAATGTGCATTTTGTGACCTTCAAAGCACTCACACCGGGCTGGGGGAAGGCAGACACCGACCCACAAGCCTGTACCCACTCATGGAATGCAGCAGGGCCTTGTTGGCTCCTTTTTTTCTCACTGTCAGTACTTTCCAAACCAGCCTGGGACAACTGGGGTGATTTCTGAAAGGAAAAATCAGCTCCATTCTGAGTTTTCCTCTGGCTGTGGCTGACTGAGCCCTGCCCTGGCTCTGGGCTGCAGGAGGAGCTGGCTGAGCCCCAGCCAGGTGCCTGAGGATCCCAGGCTCTCCCTGCTCCCCCAGTTCACCCAGCAGCCTGTTGCACAAGCCTGATTCAGCTGCTGTGGCAGGCACAGAGCCACAGGAAATGTTTTAGAAAGTACCTGTCCATGCCAGGGACARCCCGACCCCAAAAATCAGGGAGCCAGTGATGCCCCAGGGTGCTCTGCCATCCCTGCTGGCCCCACAGGACAGGAAGGGGTCCCAGCACGGGGTGGGGACAGCCTGGCAGTCCCCAGTGGGCAGCAGCAGCAGGGGAGGGTCAGGCTGGGCCAGGCCTGGCTGGGAAAAACAGCCCCGGCAGCTTGGCTCAGGCAGAAAGGACGTGCTGTTGACAAAAAGGCATTTTCTGGCAAAAAAAGGAAAAGCTGATAAAAATATTCTTAAAAATCCGACAGAGAGAGGTCCACGTGCCAAAGCAGAGGAGAAGCTGGGGCCAAGTGGTTTAAAGAGATGCTGGCCCTGTGCTCCAGCATCCCATGGGAGCAGAGTGAGGGGAGCAGGAGGGGGCAGCTCCCACAGTGCTGAGGAACAGGACCCTTCCTCTGTTTGTGCAGGATTAAAGGCAAATCCAGGAACTGTGAGGGGATCACAGCATTGTCCTGGCTGTCCCAGGGGTGGCCAGGGGGACACAGGGACTCACAATGCTCCTCATCATCTTGTCCCCGCCGCTGAAGGTCACGGCCAGCATGGAGGCACACTCCTCGGCGTAGAAGGGCATGGAGCCCGTCTCATCCACTGCTCCTGCCAAACAGGAAAGGATGGGCTCTGGGAGACCTGCTGGGCTGCAGCTGCTGAGATTTCAAGGTGTTCATGCCCTGGGAGCCTCTCCTGTGCTTCTCCAGGGGGTGGCAGGGGCGCAGGGAAATCAGAACCAATCCTGTATTTTTCCCGCCTGGAAGATCTACAGGAAGGGCAGCCACGAGAAATAATCCTTCCCTGTGCTCAGAATCACTCAGATCCACCCCTCSTGCAGCTTCTGCTGCTGACAACGTGGATTACACGTTTCTGCTCTAACACAAGTGATGGGAATGCCACATTCCAGGTCATTCCCTGAACATGGCAGGGTCTGTCACAGCCTCGGCAGGGAGAGCTGGACACGGGCAGGAATTTCTCTGCCCTCCTCTTGCTCTGTAGGTCAGAAGCAAACTGCAGAGTCAGRGCTGAGACCCAGCACACCCTACACACTGCCATGGCCATTCCCAGACCCTTTCCCACACATTCCCACCATCAGCCAGCTCCCAGTGGGCAGGCTGTGCACTTTGGGATGATCTCACTGCTCTGGGCTGGCAGGGGAGGGGACASAAGAGCCAGGCTCACCTATGGTGACAGTGTAGATGGAGTTGGCGTATCCATCGTAGTTGCAGTTGTCACTGTGCTGTCCCCCGTTGCCACTGGCCACCACGAAGATGCTCCCGAAGCCGCGCCGGCCCGCGATCACCCCGTGCTGCAGGGCAGCCTGTGCACAGGGACAGGGACAGGGACAGGSCAGGGGGGCTTTTCCTGGGTCCTTCCAGGCTCACCCAGTGATTTCTGACAGCAGCCAGCCCAGCCTGTGTGATCAGAGCTCCCCACACCGCCCTTCTGGGAGTGCCCAAAAACCTAGGCTCGGCTTTTGCTGGGAAACACAACAGCACCAGCCCCAGCTGGGAGCACATTTCCATCCTGACACCTCACCCAGACATCATTCCACCCAGGGAAAGGAACATCTGAKGGATGAGCAAGGACACAGCCCTGCTGGAGGTGACCCCTGCTCTCCCTCCCCTGGCAATGAAGGCACATTCTGCCCTCCTGACTCTGCCATGGCACAGCCAGCTCTGCCCTGCTCTGTGTCCTGGAGCTTGTTCCAGCTGTCTCTGCAGGCAGGAAGGGAATAAATTAACTTGCAGAACTGGAAACCATTTGTTATGGGGACAGGACAGCTCGGCTGTCAGTGCTGCTCTGAAGGAACTGCTGAGCTGTGGTTGGAAAAGCAGAGCAGAGGAGCAGAACCACACCCCAGGGCTGGTTTGGGGGCCCCTCAGTGACCCCTCACTGCAGCACAGGCAGGCTGGGTGTGTTTTACAGCAGTTCTGCAGCACTGGATCTGTGAGAAACCCTTCACGGCCTGGGAAGGAGCAGCCTGGGCTCTGACTCCTCCTCYCACTGCAATCCCACTCCCCTGATTTACTGCCACTATCCAAAGGCTCCATTCCTGCCTGGAGCACCACCAGAGCACTGGGAAAGCTCAGCCTCCTGAGCAGAGAGCACCCTGAGTTGCAAAACCATCAGCACACCACCACAGGTTGCGAAAGAGCCTCTTCCTGCTGGAGCCAGCGTCTTTGGACAGCTCACCCTGCCCTGCCTGAACGCCACCCTCCTGCCACAGTGTCACCTCTGCCAACCACGGGGACAGGGACACCTCCCCTGGCACCAGGGACACCCAGGGACGTGCCTGCTGTCACAGCAGCGTACCTCCCTGCCTGAATGGACAGGCAAGAACAGGCCCTGGAGGCTCCCCCARGGCTGCTGGGCTGGGTTTTACCTTTCCCAGTTGGTGGGGGCCATCCACGGTCTTCCCATCGTCATCGGGACCCCAGCTGCAAGGAGAGAACGGTGAGGTGACAGCTCCAGGAGCCACAGAGGCCACCAGCAGCCACCAGCTGCTCCCAGCAGCACCACTGGGACTGCAGAGCCCTGCACTTTCCCACCATCAGGATGGCCCCTGGCTGCTGGGATATCGCTGTCGTGTTTGCGCTGTGCCCCTGGGTCAGATTCCAGCGGATAAAATGTTGGATTTTTATTTAACAAGCGGCTTCTCACACATTCCAGTCCCAGTCACACGGCTCAGCCGGGGCTGGCTGACCACAGTGGGGGGCACAGTGTCCCCTCCAGCACAGCCAGCTCAGGGGACGTGCTGCAGCAGCACACAGAGGGATCTCACAGCTGTAGGTGCTGTGCAAACCTCGGGACAGCTCTCCAGGAACAGGATTTTGGTGCCTCAAGGCCAACTGGAGCCATGGGAGGATGGGGTGGAGCTGTGACCCTGTCCCCTGGCAGAGCTGGGTGCCAGCTCAGGCTGCCCTGGGGCTCACCTGCAGCTGTAGATGTCGTTGATCTGATAGTGCTTGTTGAAGGCRATGGCCTCCATGCTGTCCGTCAGGGGCCCGTCCAGCACTCGGATGCCTGCAGGACAGGGGACACAAGGGACAAGGAATGTGCCCAGCACGGGTCACACCAGCTGCACAAACTGCAAACAAATCACGGCTCGAGGCTGCCCTGCAGTGCTCACCCTGTTCCATGGAGCTGTGGAGGGCTGAGGATGTGGGGTAAACCCTGCTGTGCCCTGTGCTGTGGGTACCTGTGAGCYCCTCTCTGCTCCTGCCAGCAGCACCCCTGGGCGAGCCCTGAGCACCCCAGGGATGGACAGAACCACGTCCCATAGCTGCCCCCTGCCCTACCAGGACACCTCCTGCTGGGCACAGACACCTCACATCCCTCTCGGGAGCTCTGGAGACAGTGAGGGAACAGCACACACTCCCTGGCCACTGCTCCTTCGCCCCTGTCCATCCCACAACACAAAGCTGACACCAGGGCTGTGACTGGGAATGCCCAAAATTCACTGCCCAGTGCCTCCAGACACAGTTGTGGCACAATTCCCCAGCTCAGCCAGTGTGGCACAGCTGCTCTGCCGAAAGCTTGGGACCCAGCAGGCCAGGAACACTCTGGAAAAGCTGCCAGGAGCCGGCTCCTCTGGAGAGGAGCTCASGCAGGCGCCAGCCCTCCCTGCAAGAGCCTGACCAGCCTGAGCATGGCACGGCTGACTCAGAGACATCCAGAGCCATATCCCAGCCCCACAGATCCRCAGGAGGGGCAGGTGGGGCTGTGCCAGCCCTGCACGTACCCGCGATGCGGCTGCCGTAGGCGACGCCCACCGTGCAGAAGCTGTTGTTGGGCACGGCCGCGATCTCCCCGGCGCAGCGGGTGCCGTGGTGGTTCCCGTTCTCCTCGTCGGGGTGAGGCATGGGGTCAGGGTCGTTGGAGTTCAAGTCATAGCTGCCCTCTGGGCTCTGGGAACAGACCCACAGTCACAGCTCGGGGCTGGGCTGGCTTCAGTTTGGGAACAGCGGGGGTTAAGGGAACGCAACACAGGCTGAAACAGCCTGGAAGTCACGGGGACTTGGAGGCTGCTTCCACACAGGGCTGCAGCTCAACACTGCTATCTGCTGCCGTGGGGAAGGGASCAACCACGGCAGCTTCAGGCACTGCTGCAGCTCAGAAGGAGGCAGCACAAAGGCAGGTAACCCCAAAACCCAGGTGCAAAAACCCCCAGAAAAGTTTTGCTGCTGGCACTTCCCACCCTGGCTGAGCCCAGGGTGACGGYGCAGGTTGGACTCTGATCTCTCACACGCTCCTGTCACACTGCCCAGCCTGCAGCCCGCACAGGCACTCACGTAGTTTGGCTGGATGTCCTTGATGGTGTGCTCCACGCCGTCATCCACCACCACCACCGTCACCCCGCGCCCCGTCACGTTCCGCTCCCACACGCCCGTGACGTTGATGTCCTTCCCGGGGCTCTTGCGGTTGTTCTAAGCACCAGAAAGGACAGCCAGGGGAGAGGGTCAGTGCTGAGGGAACCTTTTGGGTGCACTGGATATGATGTGCGGGGCTGGGGCCAGCACAGGAAGGAGTCACYGGATGGTCAGGGGAGATTGTTTGAGGTTGACAGTGAGGAACAATCACTYGAGCCATGACGTGGAGGGCACGGTGTGCTCTGGCCAAACCCCTCTGCCCACCCCAGARCACAACCAGCCACGGGAGCTACCTCCTCCCATTATCACAGCGAGCACGTGGCTCTCAGTGAGCTCCCTCCTCACCAAAAAACAGAAAGAGATTGTTCCACTTCCCGTGTGACAGCCACAGAAACAGCCCGAGCCTGCGAGCCCAGCAGGAGCCGGGAAACCACTCACCAGGTGCCATTGCTGGGGGTATTTGGGATCGTTAAAGTGCAGGCTGCGCTTGGAGCGCTTCAGAAGCTTCTGTTCCGAGTGCCACCGCACGCTGTCGTGCTGTGCAAACAAAGTGTCCACCGACCTCCTTATTGCTTCGTGCYCAGGAGCCGCGTGGCCATCGGGCTGGTAGGCAAACAGGTAATGGCCCTTGAGCTCCCCGACACGGCCCATGTTCACCAACCCCGCAGTCCTGGCCAGCTCCTCTGCCCGCTGCTCCAGCTCCTCCTCGGGTGCATCCAGGCTGACCGCCCACGTCAGCTTGTTGTGGTGGCCCTCAGTGTCCGGAGCGCAGTGACCACTGCAGGCTGGCYCGGCTGGCGAGGCCAGGGGGATCCAGGCAGCGCTGAGCCAAAGGCACGTGTGGATCCAGAGCGTGGCCTCCATCCCTGCGCTCCATAGCGGCGCTGCCCGCCTCCAATGCGGCATCAGACAGGCGGGCTGCAACAGCACAGGGACACCGGTGAGGAGCCCGTCTGATGAGGGACACGGCGGTCACGGGGCTCGCCACCAACCTCCCTTTCCCGGAAAACCCCAGCAGAGGTGGCTCCTTCCCAGCGCATCAGAACGGGAGGCACACCCAGGCTGGGCAGGGATCGATCCCAATCCTGCCCTGCCTGCTGAGTGGCAGCCCCGGGCCAGAAAACACCGCGCTGGGCTGGCAGGAGGAGCCACTTCCTCCTCTCGCYTCTGATAAGAAACTGATAAGAAACTCTCGATGCGCAGTTCCCCAGGAGCAAACACCGCCAGCAACGCCGCKCTCCGTGGGCAGCCGAGAGCCGGTTCCTGTTCTGCAGGAGCCCCACCGAACTTGTTCCTCACCTGCTCCACGGCCGGAGSAACCTGCTTTTACCTGGCATGGGTGGAAATGACCACCGAACCCCGCTTCACCCGCATTCCATAAAACCACGGCAGCGCACCGCGGGGAAAACACCTCCCGAGACCCGCTCCCTTGGATGTGCCCGGAGCTCGACACCCCCCGGCCCTTTTCCTCCCTCCATCGGTCCATTCGCCACCGGCACAACCCATCAGCTGCGGCTGCTGCCGGACACCGAGCTCCAGGCTCCTGTCCCCAAACCCCGGGCTTTAATCGCCCCTCGGAGCGCCCGGCAGCGGCACCGCGCAGCGCCCCGGCTCTCCCCGCTCCGCCGGGCACCGGCACCGGGGACACTGCGGGGATCACCCA